TCTGAGGCTTGAGGCTTCTCTGCAGGGGAAGCTTCTGGCTTCTCTGAGGGCTCTGGCGCCTCGAAGGGAGCAACTTCTGGCTTCTCTGAGACTTGTAGCTCCAGAGGGGCCATGTCGTTGAGCCCGGATTCCGTTGGTTGAGTGTCGCCCAGCTGTGCGCAAGGATCAAGAACCATTGGCAGAGTTTGAGCTGTGTCCACAGATGACCCTTCTGCACCACCACCGTTGTTGGCGTTCAGGTGGGTCCTGACGATGTTGACCAAAATCAATTAATTCAATTGAATTGAGTTGAGGCTTAAAGAAAACCGGTTAGTTTTTATTACATGGAAACTCTAGGATGAGTCCTGATTTCGGCAATGCGGGCCAGGATGGCTGCCCTGTTGGTAGGTGGCGCCGCACGGCTCTTAGCAGCTACAGGAGGGGCTGGCGGGTGGGCCACAGCAGCACTTGCTGGCAAAGACGTTGACCCTCCATCCAACGAGGTGTAGGGGTCATCGTCGATGTTGACAACACCATCATCACTGCTAGACCCTGCTACAGGATCATTTTCCCAATGGGTGTCCAGGATCTCGTAGAAACCAAACAGCTCCCTGTCCTTGGACGGTCCGATTTTGGAATAAGAAGGGCTATGCGTCAAGAATTAAGTAAGACAAACCGTTCAAGAAAAAATTGCGTTTCATCAAAGACTCGCGAGGGTTGGGACTTCCCACCAGCCACCGACGTAAGCCATAGCTGAAGAGTTTCTTTACTCCCCAGGAATCCACATGGATCGTCGCCATGTCTCCACCATCTAAATTCAGCAGAAGGCGGAATTGCTTTACCTACAGGGGTCCAGAGTGGAAGGTTGTTTTTTAATGTGTTTGGTTGCCCACAGGTTGATTGAAACTACCGTATAACATTTGTCATCCGGCCTCGTCACGGATCCGTTGAATGGGAACAGTTTGAGGGTCAAAGACCTGTGGGCACCACCATTTTGCAACCTGCTCCAAGACAGTCCTGTTCATAGCAAATGCCCTTTTCGAAGGCGCCCCAACGAGGTGTGGCTGTGGCCAAGCCATCAGGGCCTGTGTATCCCGAGCCCTTTGCCGGATCAGAGCCTCGTGCTCCCACCTCCTGTTAAGCTCGACCGGCTGCGTCTCTTCCATTGAGGTGACTATGCTTCACGAGCCCAGGGGTGAGTGGCTTGAGGAAGAACAAAAAGGCTCCATGAACAAGTCAACATAAGTCAACCATCAGCTCTATCTTGGACATCAACTGTTTAACAGTGTTTCTCTTTAGACTTCAATCTTGGACATCAAACTTTTGGTACATCTTAGCCACACCGCTGCATACTCACAAGAAGTGAGCCTGGCCTCCGGAAGAAAAGATGGTCCTGGTGATTGCTCCCCACATCTAGGTGTACCTGTGGAAAGATGGGCTGAGTACCTGTGGTTCTGAGAAAGCTGGCTTCTCAAAGGCGCACTTGGTCTTGCCAGCGGTAGGGAGAGAGGAGCAGGAACCCATGAGAACTTGAGCACTCTGAGAAGTGCAGCAGAAACACTCAAAACCTTCAAATTCACCAAATACCAAGAATCGTCGAAGTCAAAGAAAACCTGGTTTTGGTCAGATGAGCAGAAATTATGACGCCTAGGAAGACCTAGGTATATGGATGATCAAAGCACTTACAGATACTGCAATCAAGGGTTGGTAGTATATAATTACCAATTACATCCAATTACGGTATATATATATATATAGCCTGAGGATCCCATTCACCAATTTGCTGATCATTCACAATAAGTCCAAGTCCAGCACAGTCCGCTGGCTGTTCGTATGCTTTCAGGTCGGGATCCCCTCCTGCTCCTGCTGCTGCCGCCGCCGCCGCTGCTGCTGCTGTTCTTTGAGGTATCATCCCAAACTTGGACGTTCGATGACATTACCAACAACCTCAAGACCATCCAAAATGAAACACGAAAGGGCGCCCAAACCTCTAGCTAGCTCCAAACAGCCCACGTGTTCACCCAAGTGCCCCCGTCGTGGACGTGGCGTGCGTGCCCCCGTGCGTGGCGGTGTTTTGACGCTCCTTGTAAGCATATCCATCACGGGCCAGGCGCATCTCGTAGAATGGAGCAGCAGAGTCCAGATCCATGACGAGATCCATGGCGATCCAACTGAAGCCCAATGGGCTCACTGGTTGAATCCACTGGTTGAATCAATAGACTGAAATGGACCATCGGCGTGTGTATGTTCAAACATCTGCAAGCCCGTCACGAAATAGGGTTCTATCAAAGAGCACTCCTAAGCACTTCAAGGATTTGTCAAGAATATATATATATATATAACTGTGCTGTTCAAGGGAGTCAACCAATGTTGAGCTACAAACTAATCACGTTAAGAGGAAACTCAGAAGTGAAAAAACTTTGGGGTGCCAGCATTCCAATTTGGGCAGCATCCGAGATGCCTGACTTGATAAGAGCACGAAACAGCTGCCTGAAAATCCATCCGATTCAACTGTGGTTCCGTGCCCGTGCTCCTGTTGATTTCCTCATCGTTCTTCATTGGAGGGACATCTCCATTCTTCTTATCTTAGTTAAAAGGTCAATGCAGAATCTTAACTTGGATTTATGACCTGGAGAGAATGAATCGAATTACAATACTTACAACATCTTATAAAGATTCCCTCAAAAGGCGCGAAAGACACCACCAAACCATCTAAAGCCGAATGGTTCCAGTTCACCTACGAACTTCATCTGAGGTCACCAGTGGTTCCAAAGACATCAAAGCCCTAGACCTGGAGCTCCGTTAGAACCAAGTACAGTCGACCGTTCTGACCGTTCACAGGCGTTTCGGGTGAATCGGTGACCGCCTGGGAGAAGGAAAGAGTCGTCCTGGTCCCAAGGATTGGTATCTCGCGCTCCGAAATCCAAACCTTGACTGGTCCATCCCCCAGGTCCAGGACCTCCGATGCTTTATATATGTATATACGTCAATCATGTGTTTGGTTTAAATCCCATCCCCCAGGTCAACGACCTCTGATGCCTATATACGCTATATATATATATATCATGTGTTTGTGCGAAGCCATCGGAACTCTGACATCCGCCTCCAAGCGCTCGCCAGGACGGTGATCCTCCGTCAAGCGCCGGGTGCTCCAGCTGGGCCTCAGCTGCAGAAGAACCAGCACAGGAATCGGCAATTGGTGGGGGAGAGGGTTGGAGGACCTGGACAAGGAAAAAAGCGATGGATCTGTTGATGTTTGTTGATTTATGTTGATTTTTTGTTGTGCATCAATCATGAAGCCTTGTTTTAGTATGTTTTACTGAGCAGCTAGGTGAGATGTGTTTCGTATCTTGCTCGGAGAAGCATCCTGTGTTTCATGCCACTCTTTCCCAACAGACCCTAAAAAGGTCATGAGTTGCAGTCTTGTCCCATGAGGTGCACAGTTTTGGGTCTTAAATGGCCAAAATGCGCTTGATCAGGTTAGAGGTCCGAATCTTATTTGCTTCTTTTCCTCACCTCGACTCGGCTCTAACTCGGAAAGCGGGATCAAACCAAAAACATTTGAGCATTTTCTCATCCTGAGCCCAGACGTCCCGGTGTTCCCGCTTTTCTTCTGAGGTCCCAGACGTCCCTGAAGAGCCATTCGTACCCTTCGAGCACCGGCCCAGCACCTCACGGGGTGCATGGTGAAAAGGGGCCGCCCGAGTCCGAAGACATGCTTCTGAGGACCAGATGGATGATTACATCCGTGGAACCCGAAAACGGACTGTGGTTTAAAGGAATTAAAACTATAAATTGAGGAAACTTGTCTTACAAAGGTCCATGTTCAGGTTCCGTGTGGGTCTGTTCCCGGTTGTAAAGCATGTCATGACGACTTGGCGGGCTGTTGTTGTTGGGGGGTGGGCCCCATGGTTTCCTGGAGTGATGAGGCTTCTTGGAAGTAACAACTACAGTAGTCTGGTTGAGCAAACCTTGTGGAGGAGCTCTGTTAACCCTTTGGGGTTTGCCACAGCCAATAGCCTGAGAAGAATCAAACACATCTACAATCAGCCTATACTCATTGCATGGGTGGGAGAACAAGAACTGTTAGAGTAGCTGTGTCCACCAGGTACTCTGCAACTAGAGCTAGACTACTAGATGCCACTTGTCTCCGACTCCAACTCTTTCAGTCCACGGGTCTTCCTTCGGCTAGCATGACCATGGTTCTTCCCCGCCTGGACATGCCCCTGCACATGCTGCCACGCAGAAAAACTCCATAGGGCTGGAAGAGGGCCCGACCGCCCCACACCTGCCCAAAACCTTCACCGAAAGCGGCCTGAGGAGGGGTTTACCGAGCTGCGGCCTGTTCCAAAAGAGATCGTGTCTGCCTGATGACCATGGATTTGCATCACAGATTCACCTTCCATGTGGATTTCCTCAGCCTTCCCAGAAGGTATGACTGGACCCTGCACCCACCCCAGTCCCACCTTCTCCTCAGAAAGTACGACTGGAGCCCTAGGGTATAGACCAAATATATCCAAATATCAAATTATACCAATCCTGTAGGGATCCACTGCCACCGAACCTCAGAAGGTACGACTGGGGCCGACCCTGGCGCCGAATAGTCTCCAATGCTTGGACCAATTAACCAAGTCACCCGATCCGCTAAGACCCCCAGGACCCCATGGAACGGAAGCCGCTTCGTCGGCTGAACCTTCCTGTCCTCAACGCGCACGTGGGGACCGGACCGCGCTCAGCTGGGGACCGGACCGCGCCACAGTCACCCAGATGAGCCAGCAAGAGTCTGAGGGGGCGGAACGTGGCACGAGTCGACGAGGCGCATCACAACGGATCCTGCCAAGGGCTTGACCAAGGAAGCCCAAGTGGATCAACCAAACTCACCTTCTAAACCACGGAAGGTGGTATGAAGCGGTGTTTTTTCTAACCAAGTGGAGTCAAAACTGACCTGAACCTTTGACATCTATTAGGTAGTATGTTTCTGGTCTCCTGTCGCCTTCTGACACCTAGCCAGAATGGCATCCTCACAACATGTTGCTGCTTTCTGGGCTCATGTTTGGCTGCATGAACCAACTTGAATTCACTGCGCAGGAGGTCGTTGATCACATGTAAACACATATACAAAAATGGTGGTTGTGCCTGACCATCTCAAACGTCTGGCAACACTGTTTGTGCATAGCCGCGTGATTCAGGATTCAGAATACATCGGAACCATGACTGACCTGATGTCCTACTAAATGCACAGTGTACCGATGGATGATCACTGAACCATAAACACCTAAGTTTCAGGGCAGAAATTCTATCCCAAAACCACCATTTCTAGGCGGTTGCGAATATATTTCTGGATGTTTTTTTCGTTTTTTTTGTTTTTCGTGTTTCGTGGCAGGTGCAGTACTTTGTGGACCTTGCGCAAAGCACATTTCGTGGCAGGTGCAGGACTTTGTGGGCCTTGGAGTGCAGAGTTTGTGGCAGGCGCAGGACTTTTTGTGGGCCTTGAAGTGCAGATTTCGTGGCAGGTGTAGTACTTTGTGGGCCTTGGAGTGCAGATTTTGTGGCAGGCGCAGGACTTTGTGGACCTTGAAGTGCAGATTTCGTGGCAGATGCAGGACTTTGTGGGTGTGGAAGTGTAGAGTCGAGTTGGTGGCAGGTGCAGGACTTTGTGGGCCTTGGAGTGCAGATTTCGTGGCAGGCGCAAGACTTTGTGGACCTTGAAGTGCAGATTCGTGGCAGGTGCAGTACTTTGTGGATGTTGAACTGCAGAAAGATAGAAAGATAGAAAGATAAATTGATAGATAGATAGAATAGAATAGATTAGATTAGATTAGATTAGATAAGACAAGATATGATAGATAGATAGATAGAGGAGGCATATTTGCTTGGTTAGAAAGTTTTGCACCGGGGAGTTCACCTTAAAATATTGATTTCGTGGCAGGCGCGGGTGTCGGGGATGAAGTGCAGATTTCGTG